CCCATTCAAGCCGTCTCCAGTCATTATTAGCTGTTGTAATTGTTACATCTTATCGTAGATCGTCCCTCTTTCGTTTTTCTGAATTTTTCCACGGAAGATGTCATTGGAGAAGTACGTGATTTAGTACCATGTATGTTCTCTAGTAAAATCAACTGTGTAGAGGTTTAAAAATATCTGGGGCTGTGACCAAGTGACCAGTGCACACTGGTAAAGATGACCTTATTGTGATATCTATACAGTGGTTACTCTTTCAGTCATATTACTTCTGGCCCATAATTTTTTGTTGTTTGTTGTTACATGCACTCGCAATTACTGTTTAACACGTGTTTCTTGTGTAATAAAGATATGTTTGTTTCTACTACCAAGCTGTGACCATTTTTGGACTTCGATACAGGGAGAGAGGAACCTTAATTTAACTGTGTTAAACATTTTCTGCTTTTTTTAGTGTACCTAAGAATATCACAAAGGCAGGTCCACTCGTGAAAGATCTCCAACAAAAATTATCTTTACTGTTGCAAGACGTATATAAATATTTTGTACACTGACTTAGCTGTTTGTTGAATGACATTTTGTTATCTATTATGACCGGTTTTCATTCAATTTAATGCAAAAGATATTTCATTTATATTACACCTGTAACAGCTCTTCTTCTATCCAACCTTTCCATTTTTATGGATAATTTTTTTGTGGTGGACCCTTTAATAGAATATCGAAAATACAAGCAAATTCTGTGGTTAGAAACTAAACACAAGCATCTGATACATCTTACATATGATGAGGTGTTTTTTTTTGTGTTCTTTTTTCATAATTTCGCGCAGAGCTACATAAGTTGCAGCAATGGATTCACAGTCGGAGAATGCGCTAATCACTAGGTCATGATGAGGGGGGCTATACCCTTTGTCTTGTAACATAGCTATTTAGTTTGGTGACACTTGTGACCAAAACTTTGTAAAAATGACAAGGTTCATTGTTTAGTTGCTCTGGTAATATTTGTTTGTTTGTTGAATTTAGTGCAAAGCTACTCCATAGTTATCTGCGCCAGCAGGGCCTAACTTTGAAATGATAGACTAGAGGGAATGCACCTAGTTAACACCACCCAACGCCAACCAATGGGCTACTCATGTCTGATCAAATAGTTGGTTTGACCATCACTTTTATGGCACACCCGCAGCTGAAAGGGTTTCGATCCCGTGACCCACAGATTGCTAGTTCACCGTTCTAACCATCAAGTCATGCCAGCCAGATACTGTATAAGGTCACGACCTCACTAACTGAAGTCTTCAATTTTAAAGAGGCACTGTTACCCAGGGTAGGTAAGTATGAATATATATCTGATGGTTACTATACATACCCGTGAGATGTACTGTTGAAACATCAACTATTTCGCAACTGACCTACCCTCGAGCGAAATAAATAGAAAATGTTTTAAAAGCAATCCTTTCTAGTACTATAATACGTAGTATTTTGAGACTTACATTTTGAGTGAAATACATAAGCCACTTTGTTTGTTTCAGTGGAAAGCTACATAAAAGACTATCAACACACCGCCAACTCTCGGGTTACTTAACCGAATAGTTAAATTTCATTGTCATGCTTATAGTGAACCAATGGCCCCAGAGTGCAGAGCGCGAACCGAGAATCCACGGATTCACAGTCTGGGTATACTAACCAGTTGGCCACGCCAGGCCCCAACAACCGTTAGTGTGTTCTTGGAAGTGAAAAAAATAGGGTTCCAGGTAGCTAAAACATCAAATGCTAAAAAACTTCTCAATATCTCACAATCTGAAGCAGAAAGGTAGAAATTGAAATTCAAAATTTGAACTTATACACACGTGGTCAGTGAATTACACCGACCTTGTGACCACCAAGTAATCTTGAGTGCATCCATTCTATAACTTTTCATATTGTTACGACAGCGGAAGTCACGTGACGCTGGTAACACGTCATGAGTTTCTAGAAGGATCATGACTGTTCCTGGAAACTCTAGTGTTTGCCAGACACGCCCTCTATTTTTGTACATAAGCCCGGCAAATAAAGCTGAGATATAATTCCAGATAGCAGATTGAAGAGAGATATAGATACAGATAACTGAGTCAAGTGAGCGGTAGTGACCGCAAGAAAAGTGCGTGAATCGTTGTGAATTATAGTGTGTGTTTAAATTAAAGTGACTGTAGAAATCTGTGTATTGCAAAGCTGTATTGAGAAAGAATAAACTAGTTTTATTGGAGAAAGGACTTGTATCACTGAAGTTCCTCGGGAAGAATTTTTACGGGAAATTAACAAACGACCAGAGACGTAACAAATTGGTGTCAGAGAGTGGGACTGAGAAAAAAGAAGAAGATGGAAACGAGAAGTGACAAATCAAACTACAGCTTAGCAGATTTGATGGCAGCAATACAAGAACAGCAAAAGCAACAAGAAGAATGATAAAAGAAACAAGAAGAGAGATTACAGCAGTTGTTGGAGGAAAAAGAAAAGAAACAAGAAGAGAAGTTATAGCAGTGGTTGGAGGAGAAAGAAAAGAAACAAGAAAAGAGACTACAACAGGTATGGAACTCAAACATCAGTCCAAAGTCTACAGGGCTAGGTTTAGGATGAGAGTCCGAGCTAAAGGGGAGAGCCTGCAAGAGCTGGCACAGGATTTGGAAAGTATGGCACACACAAGGCCTACCCAACTGCGCCACCCAATGTCTTCTAGCTGTTGCTGAGGGATCAGCCTTTGACAGTCAACAACTGAAGATACAAGTAAAGCAAGCACACCCCTCTACTATGCAGGATGAAATGGCCAGAGTACTTGAATTCGAATCCTATGTTAAGTCCAGCACAGAGGTACCACAGTCATCTGGATTCAAGGCCAGAAAAGGTCAGCTTTCAGAGAGGTTTAAGGGACTTTGCTGGCACTGTAACAAACAAGAAAGCTCAATGCTTGAATCTTCAACACAGGGAAGATACCACGGCAGAAAAGGCTGCTACTCAAAAAAGTTGTTGGAACTGTGGAGAGCAAGGATATATGATGAGCCAGTATAAGAAGAATACTACCAATAAGTCAGCCTCAGGGAAACCAGTAGTGGTTGGTGTTGAGGAATGCCCATCAACCTCCATCGTGAAAGTCCCAACAGCTAAGTGTAAAATGCCAAGCACACATAGTGTCTACATGACAGGGAAGCTGGATGGCCAAAAGTGCAACTTTGTCATGGATTCTGCATCTCAGCAAACTCTTGTGAGTATCAAGATGCTAGATC